CCAGGTCAGAGCTGAAACAGTCCTGCTATTTATATACTCTATCTGCTTGTGCGTTTCTTGTTCCTTAAGTAAGGTCTGTTTTTTCAAGAAGAGGTTCAGGCTAATGTTAGCAGTCAAAAAATTAGCCGTAGCAACATACCTCTTGAAGAAATGTTGGTTACTTATCAATCGTGTATTTCGAACAACATCCATAAAGACATCTCTGTATAAATATCTATGCATCAAAAGAGGAAATAAGAAAACAGCAGAAGTTTCCTCTAAAAAAATTGAAAGCTAACACGTATAAACTCAAAGGGTAATAAAAATAACACTTTTATGTCGCTTTTCTTTTTAATAAAATATCATAATTTCTTTTAGTCACTTATAATCTCATACTGGAATTTAAAATATAAAGCCCAACACTATTAAAAAGTTTAACAAATCCCTTTCATTTCTTTGCGAGAATGTCCACTCACTGTCCTGCACTTGAGAATTTCATTGTGCAGCCACCTAAATTCCCACGTTGCCTACAATTGTACAGTCAACGCAAAACCAGCATTCTTAATTTCAAAATAACATAAGACAGTACTGTACAGGAAAGCAGACTGACAGTTTTGGGCACCATGGAAAGCAGGTCTAACATCAGCGCAGGCTGCTGAGCACAGGTATTTTATTTTTAAAGAAATGAAATGAAAATGTGAATGCAAGGAAAGGACAAGAGTGCTATGCTGGCAAATCTGGATGTAATGACTTTGGCTACTGTATGGCACCACACATAATCTTGGATAATGACTGACGTCAGTGCACACTTAACAACAGGGCACTTATTCCTAGGAAGATGCAATACAGTCTGCTATTTTCTTTAATTAGCTTCTGCAGAAGATTCCAGCACTCAGACCTTTTCTGCCTTTTTCTGCCTATTAGCTAACTTGGATCAGGCAACACAGAAGTCAAATACTCAATGCCAAATTTACTCAGACTTTGGAAACAGAAAACCAGGGACCAGAAAACAAGTAAAAAATTAAACTGTTATCACCATACTATACAGAGTAGATCAGCTTTCATTTCCAGCAACTATCATCACACTACCATGTCAAACTTATGAGAGGAGATTTGTATCGCCCCAAGAGAGCGATACATCACATTGTTCACACCACTTAGTCCGATTAATCAACAGCTGCCAAATGCACAAGTTAACGACCCTCATTTTCTTCAACTTCCAGCTTTATGTAAATCACAGTTTTGTCTTTATCTAATCTGATAACCAATTTCCATTGCTCTCACTTTACAAAGGAACTCAGAAACAAATAAAAAGTGCAGGCCCTGAAAGAAGGGCAGACGAAAGAAACAAAAGCAAGTTACAACCATGAGCATGGTAGAGAGTCAAGCCTTTTCAGAATACAGGCACACATCATCAAGGAAATACAAACAGTTATTTGCTCTGCATGCTAATGACACTGCAGGTTCAGCTTTTGCATCACAGCCATCAGTCTATTAGCCTCCAACCCCTTTGCAAGAAATTGTATTACTGCTTCAAGCCGTGCAGGTAGAAGGAGCACGCGACCTGCAACACAGGACCATCTCACCCCTTGATGCTATATTTCTTGTGTGATGATCCAGGGGGCGGAACAGAAGTGCTTCACTGCTCTGACCAGGTGGACTTGTATATAGCTGCTCATCTTCACAGGATGGGAAGAAGGCATAATAAAAATGAAATTACCAGATCTTTGTAATATGCATTACTTCATCATTTTAAAAAAAAAAAAAAAAAAAAAAAAACAACAAACAATAAACTAAAAAAACTCTCCCAAGTTCTGACAAGAATTGCATTACAAAAAGAGAAAGTAGCAAACTTTGCATCACATTCCTGGAACAAACAGGGTAAGAGGATAGCAAGTTACAGAAAAGCAGCCTTACATTCTTTGCATAAAGACAACCTTTCCCAGCCACATGAAGTTAACCTGCATATGCTTTAGATTGCTAGCAAAAATCACAAGTTTTCAGCTATTCGTATTTCTCTGTGAACATAGATCTTATTGAAGAGCAGGCATCAATTTTCTGATGAACACATTTTGAAAGAAGTATTAGTTCCATTATTATCACTATAAATTAGAGAGCTGGCACAGGGTATTTTCTTTCAAGTTGCTCAGCTTTTTTCTTAACTGGTTACAGCTGTAAACCTAGATCAAAAAGCTAGATGGGAAACACTAAAGCCGTTCAGCAGATTTGAATGCTGGGGGGAGAGCACGTGGTTAGCTCTTGTGCTAAGTCACTGCAATTTAATTGCTGATGATAGCAACATAATAAAAGAAGTATCAGCTAATCCTAACTTCTGAGGGACCTAAAGGAAGGTCTAGACTGCCACAGCAGCGGCAGTGCCACTGGAAAAGGACAAGCATCCAGGCATCATCACAGAGTCAGGGTTCAACAGCTCTGCTGTCAGGCTGGGTTCTTCTCTTGGACTGGTCCCTGGAACAGGGCTTGATCCACGAGGCCCATGAACAGATGAGATGTGAAGCCTGTTTATCAGCGCTTGTACTCAAAGAACGCCTTTCACCAAGAACCTGAGCATACTTCACAGCCCAGCACCATCCACACATCCTAGAAAGACTTCCATCTCTGCAGGGAAACTCCACCATTTCTTCTGCCAAAACCATTACTTTCTGTTATTACTCATTATTATTCTAGAACCGAAATGAGAAAGATGGCCCACGGAGTGAACAGGACAGGTGCTATGTTAAGGAATAACAACATACTTATCCTGTGCGATTTGAATTTCCTCCCAGCAACAGCAGACTCTACATCCACTACGCATCTTCAGGTCTCATCCTAGGAACCAGCATGAGGCAAAAACACATACCCTGACCCCAGGAACAGCTCAGGGGTCTCACCATGTAACAGAACAGATGTAGGCCGTAGTGACGTGAACTGGTGTACATTTGGGACACCACAGTCAGCAGGCATCTCGGAAACCTCACGCACATCTGCCTTGGCAACTTTGCTACCAATACCATGCAAGAATATTTGATCGATACCGCCTAAAAGACTTCCTTTAATCATTTATCACCACATTTTTTTCCTTCCTTAGCATTTATTGGAAAGTGAATAGTTTAGTTCAAGACTGCAGTCTCCAGCAATTTGCACACATTCTTTTGATATTGTTAAAGTAATTGGTACATATAAAAACTGTACATAAACATATAACAACCGTTAGTTCACTGCATTGTTTTCTAAAAAAGTTCCAGAGTGACCAAAATAGGTGTAGAATAATAAAATCATAAAAACCCATCCTTTAAAATGTCAGCCCAGAGTAAAGGGAAAAGGAGACAGGATAATTTGAGAGGTGACAGAATAAATGAAACTTAAAACAAAACTGAAAAACACAACATTCATTTCCACATCAGTGCAGGCAGGATTAGCAAATCTGAAAATAAATACGTACCTATTTTTAAAGAAAAATAATTCACTCTAAAGTCAATGTGTCAAAAGAAGGTTAGCAAACACCAGGGCACATTTTTGAACAACAACATAGTTCTAAATGTCACACTTTTCAACCATACTTCCTCAGCACCCTCAGAAAACGTATGAACTTTTTCTGTAGGCTGAGACAACTGGAGAAGAGAACAGTCTTATTGAGATATCTTTGTATGTGAACATGTCTTAGGCATCAAAATCTAATAAATCCTATATTACAATTCTGTTTTATACTCTATGATCTTTATACCGTTACATGTTTTGGAGATCTTTTTTGGCAAAAAACCACAATGAAACTATATTGATAATTCAGTAAAAGAACACTTCACGTTTCCAACTCTTAAGTACGCACTACAGTTTATTGCTAAAATCGAGAATGCATGAATGAATTTTTTTTTAATTAAACAAATATTATTTCACTATCCAAACCTGAAAATCGTGACTTTATGAAATAACAATCCTGACCACAAGATTTAATTGTATTTAATTATCAAACTAATTTGATTCAGATTCAGAAGAGCATGTAAATACACAGTTTACATTAATCTCATTGATTTCATCTGAATGAAAGCGGTTTTTCCCCTGTGTTATGCCATTGCAGATGTCATTCTCTCTACAAATGTCAGTCCCAAGATCAGAATAGCTACAGCAGTAACAGACCTGGTATACGAGTTCATTACCCTATAAATGCAGGCACCCCACACAGCATTTGCGGGGAGAGGGATCAACAATACTTCTGTGATTTCAAGAAGAAATTCTCTTTCTTGGACTTCACTTTCTTACCTTGGTTGCAGGTTTTTCCAGTGTACCCCGGGTGGCACTTACACTTGTTTGGCCCAATGCATTCACCGTGTTTGCATCCTGGCTGGCATATAGCTGCAAAGAGAGGAATACTCATTATTCTTCCACTCCAGTCACAGCTGACAGCGCTTTACTTTGAAACAAATGGCAATGACCTAACAAATAGTACCATTTATGTTCCTCCCTTCAGCATCATTATATGCTTCAAATACCACTGTTCAAACATCAGGTGCACTTTCAAAAAATAATCACCACCCCAATACATGTGGGAAGAGCGAGACACTTTTTAGTAGTCTGTTTTTGTACAACACTACATTGTGCTGTTTCTGGGATATTAAACCCTTTTAATACCTAATCAGCACGCAGGCACTATGCCTTCACTTGAGCTATGTATGTATGTAGTATGATTCCTGCCACTAAATTTGGTAAACCTGGAATACACCACAGCTATATCAAAAATGCGTACACCAGCGTCACAGGCGACGTACAAACAAAGCCATAGTTCAGTCACTGATAGGCAGTAGCACAGATCCCAGCATTCACCGTTTTCCTCTATGACTATAAGGCAACACTCTTTACCCCCTTATTAAGCAATGTTTTGCCCGAAGCTCTCCTTTTTGGGTATTTGAATTCTGGCATGGGAATTACTTTTATTTTTTTTCTTTTGGAGGAAAAAAGGACTGGGTATCTAACCTTGAGCCATTTATTGCTTTCTATTCTCTTTTGCTGTGAACACGAAGCAGAGAGCAAATGATTTTCAAAGCAGGTTTTGACCATTCAATCTGCAATGCCAAGGTTCTAAGTAAACAACAAAGTTCAATACTTTCCAGGTGGAGCATTGAACTGACTGTAGTGACACTGACTGTAATATGCTGCTTCATGACCGCACACATCCAACTCACTTCTACTCAGAACATTTCAAGCATTTATTACCCAACCTGCTGTACAGATATAGTCTCAGTATGTGAAGTTACGGTCTATTCTGCTTCCAGAGTCGAATTTGCTAGGTAATTGCTAATTCCCCAAATGGAGCATAAATACAGAACTCCAAGAAATAATAATTAGGAAGCCTTTTTTTTGTAGCTCTCTCAATACAACACAAATAAAATTCATAAAACAAACTTCTAAAATGTCAATAAAAAACAAGCATTGCTTTTGAAGAAATATAAGAATTCATGCACAAATGTATTTCTACTGATGTAGGATTAGCTAACAGGAATATTTTCAGAGCGCAACAAATCCTGCATAACTCTGGAAACCATTTTACAGCCGAAAATTTTAAACATTTCCAAGTCTTTTTTATTATAAATGTCTTTATTACTGAACATACTGTTCCAACCTACTGGAAAACTAAAAAGTATTTACTATGCTCTAAAATGTTGTTTATCACTATATGACAAAATGCAGATGCAAAATTCAGGTGAGCTTAGTGGCTAAGCAAGACGGACACATATTAGACAGAAATCAGAGGGTGGCATAACTTCAACACCCTGTAATCAGGATTTACTATTTACCCTGGCTTTAAGTTCATTTTCTAAACTACCAGTATCGTTTGGAATTTGCAAACTAACTAGATCCAGCTGTAATATTAATTAATCTAACAACAGGCTGTATCATAAAACTGGATGTATTAAGGACGTAATTTAACAGAAATCTGTCAGAAGGCACTCAAAAATGTAGCTTGCATTCTAGCCAAGCTGTTCAACAGGGTTGAATTAAACAGAATTAAAACAGAAACAAGAGATTAGTTTTGGTTGTGGAAGAACTATGCAAATACATCTCTGATGTTCTAACATCTTTTCCATAAGATTCAAAGCATCCAGAATCAGCAATTCCCATAAACACATCCACAGAAGCAACTGTTAGTGTGGAAGGAGTTTGCTCCAGTGTTAGGACTGCATTTGCCCTTTATTATCAGGGCATTTTTTTGTTTAAACGTTATATATATACGGCCAGTGATATCCCCAGAGAACATAAAACCTTGTTTTAAATCTACAGCACTGCTCTTCTTGGATCTTCCTAACACAACGGTGCAGTCTCTTTCTGAAAACTGTCTGAAGGAATATCTTAAAAGGCAACAGAGAGGGATGTTTCTACTTAATGCAAGATTTTTTTTTCCCCAATAAACACTGTCCAGAAACAAAGAAATAGGATTCAGGTTCAGAAACACCTCTCAATTAAAGCATCAGGGTAAGGGGCTGCTTAGACTACTAAAAAGTATGTTTCAAAAAGTATGCCTTTGGGTAATGGAAAGATTTGACTGAAGAGAAACTGATACATCATGAAAAACTTTTAGAACATTATACTTGGAAACAATTACTACTTTTTTAATCACTATGGTCATAAACAGAAAAAAAGATCTTCCTTGTGTAAGAGCTCATTTAGACAGAGACTCTTGTCTTCCTGACATCATAGACCCAAGTCTAATTAGAGTTGATGGCAGCAAAACGAAGACTATGAAGACCAAATTCATGACTTTGAAGTCACTGGGGAAACAGAAAAAAGACGTGATCTAAACTACAGTAGAGAAACAGAAATGACTACAAATATGTTTTTGAAAGCTTCCATGAAATTTCAACTGCACTTTAGAGAAAAATCCATATTGTGGAGTGGGATACAGTTAGGCAATAATTATTCTTTAAAAAACAGAAAGCACCAGGGGATCAACTTGGTGTGAAGTGTTACAGTTCAGTAGCTGAATCTGTGGCAACTTTAGTTTAGCTGACTTCTTTAAAGTCTTGGTCCCTCCCTCAATTGCATAGATTGTAAATTAGCAGCAGCCCAGAAAGAGGAAAAAAGATCTCATATTTGAAGACAAAAAGCCTTCTAAAATTCAGTAATGAAATAAATGAGATCTTAATTTCATTTAGAAATGAAAATGTTCCTCTAATCCAGAAGGTGAAATACGTTTGTATTAGGAATCAGGTGTTTTCCTTAATTCTCTCAGTTAACCAAGTAGGTCAGATACTGTACCAGAACAAAAAACTTAGGTATCAGCATTTGTTTAAAACAAATGATATACAACTGTCTACAGATGTGAAACATATAACATAGGCCATGTTATTAAATCAAGCAATCAGATCTATGGGATCTTCAAGAGATCATCTAGTCCAATACATCTCAACAAACTTAGCTCCATACTATGCAGTATTTAATGCCTTGTAAGACATACAGGTGGGTAACTTCTGATCTAGTCTACCTCCTAGTCTCAAGATATAATTAAGAAATGTACTTAAATCATATCACAGATATCCCTCTCTTCTGTTTTTAAAAGTCTCAGTTAAAGGAGATCTCAGATCCTCAGCAGTCTACAGCTCAAGAATCTCTACTACCACAAGGAAGGTATCCTAATGATTAGCAAACTACTAGCCATAAAGTCAAAGTCATCATAAAATGTTATTTTTGCACATTCAACAGGTATTTGGAAACTGATGTTTGCTGCCAAACACTCTACTTGAAGAAATCCTGTTTATTAGAGTGCATTCTGTGCAACTCTGGACACTTAAGTATTAGGCATCTTATTTATACACAGCTGCTGAAATTCAACACAATGTTACTACTGAAGAATTTCTATATACAAGAGAAAAGCGCTTTGCAGTAAGCTTAGCAACATCTGTAGCTCAGCCAACACTACAGATACATCCCACAGCATTTCCTATCCGGAATCAAGGCGTCCTCACCAAGCAATTTGTATATTCTCCCATTACCTTGAGCGGGGCTTTGCACGGTGCTCAGGACTTAAGAAGCAGATGGCGTTCAGCCAAGTCTGCACACCCAGCTGGGGTTCCACCAGCCACATCTACACGCCCTTCCCACCGACCTCCACCAGAGTCACCAGGCCCAGAGGGCTGGGCTGGCTCAGGCTCTGCCATCGGCAGCCTGCAAACGCTCCCTTCCCAAAGGGTTCCGTTTGAACATGGTCAACAATGACATCCAGGTATAAAAATAAGCTTGAGCCTGACTTCCAGCATTTCTTTTAATAGCAGGCAATTATTTCAGCTGTTTCATGAGTCTAGGCATACACTATGTATGCTGGTGTGACTGGGTTTTTTCTTTGCATTTTCCACTCTACTTATTTTCTTGCAAAATTCCAGATAGAACAGAAGAATAGGATATTTCAGTTGCTCTGCTCACACACAAACACATGGAGTTTATCCCTTTTTTTTTAACACAATTAGACTTGTAAGTAGTGGGGAAAAAAGTCTCCTGACTAATATGCTTTGCATCCTGACAATTAAAAAATTCCCCCACAACCGACCACACCAACCAATGGAACATCATTTCCCTCTGATCAGCTCACATTTACAGTGACTGAAATAAGCCATGTCCATGGACTTCAGTCTGCTACATAACACTTCCCTACTAGGCAAGAAGGAAACGTAGACAGTGAGGAGTTACACCAGGCTGAGAAAGTCGCTTTCATACACACTTAGGGCAATGAAGTGCAGAAGATAAGAGCCTGAGTAGGTTGCCAAAAAGAAGCAAAAACTTTCTACTCTTTATAATAGTAATCGTTTTAAACAAAAGTTACAAGTACACCTGTATAGACAAGTGCCACTAAAAACAAGATTGTCAGTTTATTGTTGAATCAATATCAACAAAGACCTACCACTTTTCCAAGCATTCCTCTCTGAACGTATTTAAGCTGGCACTCCCATTGGGTAGTAGTGTGGACTGAGACAGACAGAAAGCAATCCTAAGCACAGCTATTTTCGTCTTTAGTCAACTGCTGCTTATTTATCTAGGCCACAGAATAAACTACGACTAAATTTTCCATTTCATTTTGTTGCCCAATTCATTCAAGAGATATCAGCAAATAAATTCTGGTGTCATGATTATTCATTTCAGTTTGATAATTTTAAATTCTTTTTTTGGGCCAGATGTGAAGACTTGCTCTGTCTCAGTTCCCACTAACTTCAGTGGAGTCAAGGAGGTACCCTAAAGCCTTTTATTTTGCCATAAATTTAACAGAGTACCTATTTTAAAGGTTGGCAAGAACTACCTTTTCCTCCAAAATAAGACTATAAATACCACATTTTAAGTCTCACTTAAACTTCAGGCCAAATTAAACTTCCTGTAAAAATAACACAAGGAACTGAAATATGAATGAGTGGTGTGGGTTTAGGGTTGGGGTTTTTTTTCAAGTGCGGGGGAAAGGGAGAAAGAATTTCTGGTGAAATGCACGTGCTGTTAGCACGCGTTATGCTTGTGTAAAAGCCAGAAGCCACCAATCTTCCGAGCCACTACTAGCTGCTGGTGGTGTCTGAGCATGACTCAAATAATTTTGAAATATTATTTTTTTAATTGTTGCATAAATGCAATAGATGAGTAACACATTCAGTCAGTTCACTGTGGGTGAATGTTGGTGGTTTTAGATTTCATCTGTATTTTCTCCCTGCACACAGTTCCTTCAGAACTGCTTTGGAAGGCCCCCTCAGGTTTTGTCAGTTCCTCTGCACTAAGCTGCCCACCTTTTGAGGGCATGGGTGACTACCACATGCTGTCCTCTCTATTCCTTCTCATCTAGATTTTTAACGTTAATGGTTTATTTCTTGATTACCAAACGCTGTTTGGTAGAGTCCTAATCAGACGGTTGCATTTCCTACCTATCTAACTCTTCCTCTTCATTTGTGGCCAACAATGGAAATCCCTGAGCTTTCGTAGTGGAGTATCTCTATCAATTTAACTCGTTTGGTTTCCCAACACTCTTAGCTACGTCTTTCATCAAAACAGCCTTGAGTATAATTCTGTGTAGAATTCTTACATTCTTTTTCTCTGCTTTGCCTCTTAATTTCTGTTCCTTAACAGTTATTTCTTATTTGTTGCATTTTCTTTCTTGCGTGATGCCCACAAGAGGGTTTCACTGACAGAAGTTGCCCTCAAGGTCTTTAATTGCTCTTTCTGCATCCCTTCACTCAAATTTGCCTCAAAATGCCAGACTGCAGATGTCCAAACTGTCACTGAACTTCTATTTTCACCTCTCTGAAGTCTAAAAATATGCACAGGAATACTCGCATCTGAAACAAACTATGCTGTCCTGCCTGAATGGCCTTGCTTCTGCCCTCTCTTCCCAAGTAACATATAAATGTCCGTTATTTATTGACTCTAAATCCCAGCTCCTTAAAATTCAGTTTGCTCAAACACAGAAAGTAATTTGCGCATCAGCCCAGAGTTGATTACATACTATTCAGCTTCACAAACCTTATTGGATCCTCTTACACTGCTGAACGCAGAAGAGATTTCCAGTCTTAAGATCGCTACTTACGTTCCCCCAGTGCCAACTTTATAACAAGACCTGCATGTTGGTGAAACAAGCTTTCCTCTATGCTTCCTCCTTCAACTGAAACTGTCTCCCTTCTTCCTGTGGTGCTAACAGACCACAGCCTCAAGTTCTATACTTCTCTTCCTCAGAGCCAGCTTCAGCTCACATCTGTCTATTTCTGTTTACTTTTTGCAATTCTTTGCAAATTATGCAATTGCATAAACACACACACAGGAAAATAAATCTGCCTTATTCACAGTAATTTTGATCTAGGATCCCAAAGGTATGAGCTAATTTGTAAAATAAATCACTGCAGCTCTTTCAAAGTTACACATTTCTTTTTTGTTCAACTACATACAAATGCAGGAGAATGCATAAAGCTTAACCTACCACAGAGTTACCAGTAGGTGGTAAAAAGTAAGTCATACCCATAACTCACATTACAGAATTACTTCTGAAAAAATAACTTCACTTCCCAAATAAGTGTACTAGCAGTCACAACATATATCTCTGCAGAACTTAATAAGTCTGACTAGAGCAACTGGGTATTAATTTTCAGCTAATTTCATATGCAAAACATTCCTTACTCTATTTTTTGAAAGATGATAAATGTCCTTGACCAACTTCTGTATCTAGAGACTGATAATATCATCAGATAAAATGGTAGTATCTAATGCCTGAATATTTTTTCAAAAATTACTTGCACTTAGTTGTAACATTCATGATAACAAATGTTGTCAAAATGCATGCTTAAGCTTCCATCTAAAACATACAGTTCCCTTAAGTAAGTGGCTCCTAATTTTTCATGCACAACTACTACGTTTGCCTGGGTAAATCAGTTACTCAGTTTGCACATATGATTCTGGTAACAGCACATTAATATGACAAACTGCAACCAGCGGGGCTATTCATTGCAGCGAATTCTTTGCTTGCCTACGACTGCTGCCAAATGTGTTTCTAAACTGCACACACAAATCCAGACCCTGGCTCATTAATGCCTTGCTATTCAGAACAGCACTTAAAAGCATGCATAACTTAAGCATGGGTAACACTGAAATCAATAGGATTTAATGAAGTCAGTGAAAGTTAATCTAATCCTTATGCACTTAAATACTCCTTTTAGAAATCAGTGAAAACTCGATCTAACACAATGCAAAATTAGAAAAGCAAGAAATATTTCATGCTTTGTCAATCTTTTCATGTTTGCATTTCAAGTGGTTCATGATAATTGCTTAAAGAATGGTGCTTTATCACCTCAAATATGCCCTTTGTTACCTGAATCTTTCTGTGTGTCTACTGAATTCCAGCAGGTAGAAGCAGGGTAGCACCAGTGTCTCTGTGTATGGTAGCAGAAAAACTGGGCCCTATTGCTATTTTCTTTATTAGAATATAGCACCCACTGGCTTCAGCAGAGTTACTTCTGTATCACAGTAAGGAAGCTGACTTTCACAGACAGATCAACAGCCGATTGCTTTCCTCCCCTTTCTAAGACTGGTACTCCCGCCCCAGGGATAAGTAAACAAGACAGATCAATTCCTAAGCAGCAGCAGACTACAGCCCTGAGTAGCAATGTAAACTAGCGTTGTTTTCATTCTGCTGTAACATGCCAGGTTGTACGCTGCTGTAGAGCAGCGGCGAAGTTTCCCTGTTGTGGGAATGACAACTTGCAGTGGAGGTGCAAAGCAGGCAACGGGGGGCAGTAAGCGCCTCAGCCATCCCAAACTAACCTCCCACTGCACGTGATTCAATACTGTGAAAGCAAATTAGGCCTCCTAAGTCTGACAGCTTGTAAATATGATGCTGGGAGTATATAAACAATTTTTGGGAAGGAAAAAAATATTGCCTGGGGCTTGAGGGTAAAATAAAGAAAAAGGAAAAGAGTGAAAAGGAAAAAGTGCAATAGTTTAGGAAATAAGTATCTCATCGGATAGGTGACTGGGATATAACAGCCCTGTTAATTTCCTTCCCCCCTCATCTTCCCCAAATCAAATGTTTAAAAAAGGAAAAAAAAAAAAAAAAAAAAAAAGAACATCTGCATCTTCTTGTCACATATTATAGTTTTCATGTAAACTTATGACTTACAGGCCATAGCTCCAAGTCATAACCTTGCCAAAATTATTTCAAGAAATATGTTCAGCTAACCTTTGGGCTGGCACCTTAGGCTGGCTATTCTCTGCTTTAAGACGTAGAAAGCTGCAAAACAAATATCCAAAAAAAGAAATTCCAGCTTTTTTTTCTGTAAGGAGGATGGACTTGGCTGGGGTTTTTATCAACTTGTTACATTCCTGGAGACTTACACACATTCAACATTCAGATCTTTTCTGAAATAAAAAAAATTCTGGTACACATTTAAAAATGGAAATACCTTACATCAGTATTTCATTATGAGATTTAACAAACACATTTTGATACATAAGAGTAATTAAATATAATGACGTGATGCTATTCTTATTCAATCAACTAAGGAGCTACACTTTGTCATGTTTCATATGGTACTTAGTTGTAAAAATTCTCATGTTTCACCGTTTAGGTTCAATGTTTCCATCAACAGAACATAAATACTTTTCTTAAAGAGACAGTATCCTTTAATTTAAATATAAGTATACATTTTTAATGCTGCATCTCCACAGAGCAAAGATAAAGGGTTAGCATCTGGATGCTAATTTGAGCGTAATTAAAATGACACCTATTTATAAGTATCTGAACATCTGCAATCAATAAACATGCTGGCATATAAATTTACTGCTAACTTTTATAATGTTTAAATTTTGAATGTCATCTAAATTAAAACTAATGCTTAGAGACCTTTTCAGCTCTTACTACCATATGAAACTAGATACGCTACAAAAGTTAAATAAGATGGAAGCACAGATTTATGTTTCGGGCTTATTTTAAATGAGTTTATTTGCCAATGAAATTAATGTTAGCAGCATAGCTTGTTAGGCTACATAGCCTTATTATAAAAGACTGGGACTTAAGCAACAGCAGCTCTTTGTATTTTAAGCAGTATGTGACCAACACTTAAGGGTTTGCTATGATTGCAACTTACATTGGTTTAAATTAGTTTCAACCAGAAAGTCCCTTAGCGTTTGCTACAGTGGAGGGAGGCTCCCCAGGTTGTTGCTGGGTCTTGAGAGAAGCTCCAAATACGAACATACTACAGTTGTAAATGGTCAAATCACGTTACTGTTGAGATTTCCTTGGGAAAAACTGGACTGCAAAACTATTATTCTACGTATGAAGTGCAGCAGGGATGCGGTTGGGAAGTGGAAAAGGATACTGTATCTTTAACATAGTAAAGTCATAACTGCTTTAAAAGCATAAAGCTTCTCAACTGAAGAAAAAAACTGAATAAAAATAGCAAAACCTCATTTTTTCTTGCATAGCAGTATTAAAGCAGTATTGCAATTCTGTATAAAATGTCTTGTCTTTGAAAAGTACCGGGGATGCACAAAAATATTGGTCATTTTATAAGAAGCAGACATGCTGCATATCAATATTAAACAAACATTGCCAAAACAATGCATTAATATAGACCGTATTCTTGCAATGACAAATTCAGTAACAAAACTCTTATTGACTTTAAGGAGGTATCTTCACGGCTATTTAAGGAGGTATCTTCACGGCTCATTATTAACACAATCATGGTTTTATTTTTGTGCATCTTTGGACTATACAGAATTGCCATTTCCACTGAAAGCATTGTTACGCGCACGAAACGGAAGTCCTAAGCAGCTCACGGCCTCTTCTCCCATTGATGTATGAGATGATTTATATGGGTAAACTTCCATCAACATTATTGTTGGTTATACAAAATCTCCTTCTAGGCATCAATGAGAGCACAGCCACCTCTTCCCCCACCCCGCCACCACCACCTTGCATCTCTGTAAATAGATTGCACAGTACAGATACACAGTCTTTAAGCTCATTAAGACAGAAGCAGCAGCATAGACAGTGTAAGTTTCTTCACAACTGTTGTAAGAAGGCAGCAGCATGCACAGTTCCCAGCAAAGCATTTGGTCTTGCCTGCATCACCTTGTATAAGCTCCCCTCTCTCTCTTGCAGGTCCTCTTAAGAACCTCCTGAAACAGTATGCTTTCTACTAGGTTTGACTACATCTAAATGCTAACCTGACATCCTTCCATTAACATTTTTAATGATGCAATGCTAAGGGGAGGTGTAAACTGATGACTTGACTTATACTTTTACTAATGAGCTATTTTACTGTATACCTTCTTGATTGCTCTATCCCTAGGCTTTTAAGCCAGTTATCATGGTTTTAGTGTAAGGTGGTGGGAAACTACTTTGCTGACGTATTCTGGTTTTGGTCCCTCAGTAGAACTCAAACCTCAGCACAGGGAGATTAGCAGATGGAGTTACAGTGGATGGATGCTCTGAAAGAGCACACTCATCTTCACAACTCCTTCTCAAGACAGACTTCATAGCTTTGTTATTAAGGAGAATTCAACATTGAAATGAGTGAAGTAATCCAATAACATTGCTACTTGTAAAATCCATTTTCAGTGGGATTTTATTCCTGTTAAGCATCTTCTATTGAAGATGCTAGACAAAATCTCAGAGTAGCCTCTGCTGACTCCAACAGTCATGCAGACTCATGCCAACAGAGGATCTGACAGTAGATCTGTATCTGTTTATAGTAGCTGCAGATCCAACCTTCTATTTTGTACATATGCAAACACAGCAAAAGGAACCATTTTTGCCATCACCTCTAGCAAAGGAGTTGTCCAAACTGTAATCCAGAATGAGAATTCAAGCCGTTTTATATTGCTTTTCTTAAAAAAATCTTGCTTAACCTTTTAAATCTATGCTAAAGTAGTAGCTCTTTTTACAGTTCTTGGCTGTTAAACTGCAGCTGAAATTTTGAAGCAAAAGGCAGCCTACCTCTTTAGTGTACCTTGACTACATATAACTAGCATACAAATCAATTACAAACAGACATGCAGCCAAGTACAAAGCAGGTGTATTTTGTTCATGAAAGACACACACATGTGGAAACCATTTTTATAGCTTTTGAAAGAACTACAGAGATATTTGTAAGCCAGCTAAAAGCAAGGCAGGTAGACCATTAGTTCTAAGAATAACTTTCAGGGAACTAAGATGGATTAGTGGCAAACACATCCATGAAGAACTACTATTTTTCAAATATCCCCTAGCACGACCTGTTGGAAACTGAAGGGAAGAACTTCCACTTTCATACCGAGGATTAAAAAGCATCACAGAACTTCCCATGTAAGTCTCTGCATGAAATGAGTGCATCTCTCATCCCATATTTTAATTTTCTGATAGGCTAACCAGGTTGCAGAGCTCAGTATGTGAGTATATATTCACAGTTGATTTCTGTACACCAGATTATCAGCAAGGGTCTGTCAGCAGCAGTTCCAAGGACTTTCCTGCTGCTTGGCCTACCTCTGACCTAGCAGAGACACTTGGACACCAAGGCCCAGATTATTCTTTCCTTGAGAAACACTCAGGGAGACAGCTGTCCCTGCAGAATGCTGTCACAGACATCTTATGGGGATGAGATGACAGGCTTCAGCAGGTCTCCTAGACTACAGTAGCTAGAATACAGGAATGAGCATGACTGTTTTCTATTCTGCAGTTGACATTTCTCATCCAGCTCAAAGAACTGAGCTCCAGCCCTACCACTGCTGGAAATTCTCTTCCCCCAAGTATTTCAAATCATGAAAATTAATGCTGAATAACACATTAAAAAAAAAAAAAAAGTTGAATCAACTTCCTAAGGCAAATTTTTTCTGCTGGCACACAGAAAAGTGTGTTTGTGCAAGATGTGTGCAATGATGCATGCCCTGACTTGGGTTTCCCTGTATACTTTAAAACCCATTTAATGGGCTCTGGGTTAGGACAACACACTCAGTACCACAGATGTAGTTGCCTTACAATGCAAAAGGAGTTATGAATTAAAAATGTACTGTTGATACCTGCTCTCACCAAAAATGCTCTGTCACAGGAAGTCAAACCCCCCTACTCTGAAAGAAGAAATCCAGAAGAAACTCTTTCTAGCCTCACTTTTGCTCTGGGTTCTAGTTTTGCTGTATGCACAACAATAACATAAAAATGCAAGACAACAGCCCTCCTTTTACACACATCTCATCAGGTAGTTTATCAACACACCGTTTTTCACAGAAGTAGGCTTTTGTGTGATTACTCCCGCTTACAGCTATTACTCCCACTACTACTTATTAAGGTGCCAGTAAGTACCTCAGGCTGGGCACCAACATGGGATTTTTGGACTAATTTCAACTGGGATATTTAACTTCTGAGTTTAAAGCACTGATGCTGTGAGTCCATCAGTGTAAAAGACCAGCCCTACCAATGATGAGGTTACTTCACATGAACTAAGAGTTGTTGCTTAAACAACATTGCTGCTGCTTCCAAATGAGCCGTTCTACACACCAGGTTTAACCAATAAACCTGGTTTATATACCAGATCAAAACCTGAAAAAGGCTACTTAGTTACATTAGTAACGGAATATATCCACCCTTCTAAATCTGCATCGGGCCACTAAATAAGCATGGATGGATTTTCAATTTACAAGGACTTAGAAATGCCAATGGATTTATTTGAGTTATGTTTGTTCAGCCCCTTTGAAAATATAGCTATATTTGTATCAGTCTCAAACTGGATCTAGTTGCCTAAACGTGGATCTCACTTTAGTGCTCACAACCTGCAAGGAAGAGGGGAAAAAAAAAAAAAAAAACAAGTCCAACGTGTTTCAAAGTTCTTGATTATTTCAGTTGGAGGGACACCTTCTAAGTGCATTTGCTGGAATCGGAAAGAGCATTTGGGAAGGCAATTTCACGTCAATGAAGAAAGTGTTTCTACTAGCTGAGATGTTACAGCTGACACTGACAGGCTTTGGAAGCAAGTTTACAGGAAGATCAGACCTACATGCACTTCCTTGCAAGTCTTGACTGGTGTAATTTATTAACAGGAGACACAAGATGTTTTAAAGGAAGAGTGTAAATTAAAGGAGGGGCCTGACTTCAACTTCTTCCTACATGTTTATAAGAGTGAAAAAGACAGATGAGTTAGGCTGACTTGCGTTACTAAGCAGCAGTAAGCACGATTATGCTCTGTGTGCTCTCCTGTGTCAGTCAAGGGGACAGAAAAGGAATTACTCCACATGTCACAAAAGCAGGTTTAGCTAACACAGTTCAGTTTCCATTTGCAACTGTATGGATGGATTATGGATGGAAGATCAGGAGCGCTGAGTTACCAAGGCTTAATGAGTTACCACTTGTCAGCTGTGCCACAATCCTACCCTGTTAAAGCTGACATATACTGGCTTAAACCTCTGCCACAATTAAACCATTACCTTAATTCACACAGTTGGTTTAAACATTGTTTTTTTTTCTCAACAGCTGTGGGCAGAAGGCATGCCCACGCATGTTCGGTGGAGCAGCTCAGCTGGACAGCAGAAAATGTATCCAGGTATGTTAGCGATCACTTGCCCATGGCTCATCATGGTTCAGAGGTCTCCGTAAACTCGGACAACCTTGTCATGTATCAGAGCCTATATTCTTGCTACACTCTGGCTCCAGCACGGCTCTCACCTTACATTTGTTGTCAGAAAGATAAATTCAGAGGTGAGCAGTGCCTACATAGCAAACTATGCATGAGTAAGCAGGTGAGAGTCCAAATGTGCTGTAGCACTTGCAGGCATACCAAGGATGGCTCATACTAGTTTGAGAAAAGCAGTTCAAGCTCACTAATAAAGAGCTCAGCTTTATTGCCTGAATATTTACAGCTTCTTTTTTGGACTCATTTGTAAATTGGGTCTCACTACTAATTTTGAAGCCTGACTCTATACTTGCTTTCATTGTGCAAATACAATTTATTCTAGAAATGGCAAAGAAAACCTACATCTAGTAGAGAAAGTCTGGCATGTATTTATGCCACTCATTTCGAGGACAGGACTAAGAGGTTTGCCTTTCTCCGTAGAGAAAGCAGGAGAAATAATTGTGTACTTGGCTTTTTGGAAATTTTTCAGTGATATCCCTTTGTACAGTAAAACACTCAAGTTTTCCTTTGAGGCCGGGAATGCTGCCTTCTGTGCCAGGTTAATCCTTCATACCGAATACCACATTCCCAAGGTGGAGAGTTGACTACAGATTTTATATTTGGCTGCGAGCGCTAGAAAGATACACTTTCATTTAGTGTAATCTCCCACTCTGTGATACGACTGGAATTTTCACCACCCACAACTGGGGCAGATTTTCTTGCTAAGAGTTTGGCTCCCATTTGAAAACTAGAAGGAGCTGCTAAGTTTTTAATAAGTTCTTCACCCAAACGTCTGAGATTCTCCCGAACCAGCAATTCAAAAATTATCAGCACCCAGTGTGTGAAAAAAATGGGAAAAAAAATGCATTTAGACACCTAATTGAAAATTGTGTTCTTTTAAAAGTCTGGCCCCAGCTCCTGGAGATGACCACATAAAATCCACCTCTGCACTTCTTGGAAATGTGCATGGAAAATGAATCTGTGAATAATGGACTAAATGGCAGCAGAAGGAGGTGAGAATTCACCTAGCTTTAGCGTTAAAAAGGAGCATTTATGGTATCTGAAAAAGTTGGCACTAGAAATGACCTTATTGACAAAATTCAAAGAGTAAAAAATAAAAAATACTTTCTTTGTCTCGTTTTCAACTTTTAGTTATTAATCTTTTGATAGTATCACTTCATGCTATTCCCGTCTCCCAAGATCATAAAAATGCAACCCCAAATCAGACTTGGTAATAGTGACAAATTAAAGGACAAATATAACCTAAATTGACTTTCACCTAAACATGAGCTGCAATTTATGGTCACAACACAGAAGACAACTTGTCTAAGAAAAGGGACACAGTAAGACCCTTTTGGTGTTTTGAGTTTTTTGGGGGTTTGTTGTTGCCTTTTTCTTTTAAGCAATGTAAATTATTGATACTTGCCAGTTAAGCCTTTATAGCCTCAAACATTTACATGCTCAATGATTTTCAAGTAAAACTGTGTTATGAAAGATGGACAGAGATTCTATCACCTCTGGAGTAGCCTCAATCAACCTACTTCACAGTCTCCTTCCTTCTCTATAAACATTTATCCCAAGGAAAGGACTACACGTTACCAACTACAGCCCTAAAAATCAAAATGATTCATGGTATGGCCTGAGAGATGTCAACCTGAGAACTTTGCATCAAAAAACTGTATCAGTGATGTTATGTTCCAGAAGTACTTTACATAGCTTTTTTTACCAGTCATTTTATATACCTGTTAAACATTGTGGGCTTTCAACACACTTGGGAAGGAAGAAGCCAGTCTTGCTGTTTACAGATTTGAACAAAACCTTTGCTGAGAGTCTACAGTTGCATTGCCAATGCTATTTCTACCTTTTGCCTAATATTTGCCATCTACAGTCATTACCCTGCAGACTAAGCAACTTACAGTATTTAATACCTGTTTTATGTTAAAAATGGCTTGGCAGAAAATTATCTAGTTTGCAGACGTTTTCATCTAAATAAAAAAAATGAGAACCGGTATTTATAGGTTCACTCCTGCAAAAATTTAGGGGATATCACTCATGTATGCACTGTTAAACACACGAGCGAGTGTTCCCAGTATCAAAGGCTGTAATTTTAACAAGCTGAGGTCTCTGTGACACTCCTAACAATTTTAACTTCTACACAGTGCTAGCTGCCACCACAGAATACCTTTTGAAGATGTAGTTAATGATGAAGACTTATCTACTTGGTTATCCTGCAATTATATCAAAGATCCTAGATAGATGTGAGAATCTCAGAGATGTTTCTGTTCACGTGTGACCCAGTAAAAGGATGCTGTCAGGTGGATTCATACCCTTAGTTTGGGGTTACTGAAAGAATGTTCGTACTTAATACTAACTGGAACATTTCCACCGACTTTCTAAGCGAAATGTCAATAATTTGGGTTTCCTTCTTGGATACAAATATTCTTGCCCTGCAGTGCTTGTAACATGACACAGTGTAGTGTTACATCAGGCTATTAGACCAGAGCATGAAATGAAGCGGAAACCAAACAAAAATTCCCAAATTCTCATTGCCCCAACTAAAGTTTACCTTACTTGATTGCAATCATTTTTAGTACTGTTAATAATAGACAGAATTTTACCCTGACAACATCCTTGTAAGTAAGTCAGACTCACACATGCAAAAGCCTAAGCCCTGCGTTGTAAGAATGTGTGTGAACATGTGAAAGACGTGACTAGGTGTGTACAAGCCTTTTCTACAGGTAACTAGAAGCCCCAGCAGCAATGATACTCACGTTGACACTGTCCCCAGGACAATCGGGCCCAGCCCCAGCAGCAGTCAATTCTGTTTCCAAACCGACAGAGTCCTGTGGAGGAGACTATTTGTCTGGGCCACCTGAACAAAACAGTTCAAAAAAATCTGGTGAAACATTTTGAAAGTAGGTCAAATTATTCTAGATTAAGAAAAACAAAAGACAAAGACCAGCAAAAACCTCTCCTGCATGGAGATATATATCCTTTGTTTTGAAAACAGTAACTGCTCTAAGCTGAGTCTATGATATTTCTATCATTAATGCTATTTTTAGTTCAGAAAATGTAAATGACTATAGGCAAAGAGGGGAAAAGATAATTAGGGTAACTTTGTAAAGCCTTAAAAAACTGACATGCTTTGCAATATGCTCACTGCTGCCACTCCCAGGCTGATATTGAATAATTTCAGAAGTCTGAAACACAGAATTTATAACGTGGAATAAACCACCATCATAAAGTTTCAGCATTGGCTTATTTCACAATACATGGCCAAATCTTCTTGCTGAAACATTAAAGGAAAAAAATCAAAACAAAAGCTTCCCAAACTGTTAAACAGAAACTAAATACAACAAGAGAGCTGTAGTCTTCCCTTGGTTCAAGGAGAAGATATCACAGTCTCAAGCAATTACAAAGTATTGACATAAATTGTTAACGTTTTATAACGACAAGCTGAAATAACACAACACTGCATTTCAACAAATCCTACAAGGAACGCCTTGGAGAGGGGATCACGCTGGCTGACAGACAAGCAGGCAGAGCCCTTGCGCTGGGCAGTCCGCTCCTTGCAGCATCCCTGAAGCCCTCTCCAACTCGCCTTACCGCCGCTCGCTACACCTGACGCGGCTCAGCGCAACCCACGAGGCACACGCTCTCCGAGCATTCATTTTCACCTTGCTTCGTGTTAAAACTTGAGTTGCAGTCTTCACCGTATTCTGTTTCAAGTGCCTCGAGGCGTCAATAAACTAATTTTCTTTTTACAGCACGCAAAGTGCTTTGTTTTTAATTCTTGCAGGACGCAACCCTGCCAGAGCAATAAACTTTTTATACCTAAGCCCGCATTCGGGTCGCCGGGCAATGCGCGGCACTCCCTTGGCGCGGGGGGGACGGGGCCGGGCAACCCCGGGAGC